ATGGTTCAAGATAATTCCTCTTCCTTTGGTGTGGGCCAGCAGGCCAAAAGGCTGGGCGGGCCTGCAAGGTGTTCCCAAGCAAGAAAATCTCCCTTGCAACAATAGATTTCTCAGAACTTATCCCTGTTCTTGAGTGATGCATGAGTGTATATCAAACCTTTGTTATCTATCTTACCGCTTCAAGACCCTGTGTTCACTAAGAATAGTGTACGTATTAAGCTTGGTATACATGGTAAATATTCTATACAAAATAACTAAAATATTGATTCAATAAATGAATATGAGCTGCCTTCAAGCTAAAGGGAGCACCTTGGGTTTTCATATTTTGGTATACGATGATTTTAGTTATGTTCATCATTTCTACTTGCTCTATGATTTTGTCAACTTTTCACATCAAATGCTTCTAACAGCCTCCATCTTTCTGAGCAGAAGAAACACTAATACCTTTCTCCACTTCTTGTTAAGCAGACCATTTCCCGTGACTGGCTAAGAACTTTCACATCAGCACTGCTGATTTTACAAAGCAAATATTCTTGGTTTGCAGCAATTATAAGAAAATGTCTTCTTTCCCTCACTTTTGTTCATGTAATATTAGTATTTATCTCAAATTTTAATTCATGTCAACATTATAGGGAAATAAGAACACCATTAATTTAATATCTACTGACCATACATAGGTATTATGTTCCACATGGCTCTTTTAATGCACAGACATGTAATGATCTCGAAGACAGATGAAAAAAGTAAGGAGAAGAACAATAGTATGCTACCATTTAAAAACAAGAAAAAATATTTTTTCTTTATAATCATAAACTATTTCTAAAAAATATGCAAGAAAGAAAATGTTTGCTTTAGTTGCCTCTCAGGTGGCCACAGAACAATACAGGAAGGGCATTTTTTTTTCCCCATTAACTTTACTGGTACATTTTAGGTATACAGTACAATTACATTCATCATTGGGATCTTGTACCATTACATGAGTCTCTTGGTTCTTATTTTTTTT